TCAAACCAATGAAAATCTGAGTTTTTAAAACACAAGATAATGAAAATTCTCTAGATCGGTGTCTTTTACTACTTTTAATCTGTTAACAGACCCTGAGTGTCTCAAATGGAAGGAACATAGCATGAATTGCTCAAGTTAACAGCATTCCATACAGGTAACTCTTGATTATTCCAATTTGTCACAAATTTGGACATGTTTACTGCCTCTATAACCTCTCTAGGGAATGTGAAAGAAAAGAGACCTGTACAATTTATTTCTCAAAATGCACACAGAAATATAATTGCACACGCACACACACACAGGAAAACCTCATAAATAATGTATGAGGGACAATGAAGTGTCAATAACAGAGCTACTAATTTAGGAAGACAACTCTTGTCACAACTTGCCCCCTTGCCAAAATTGATTGGGAATTTTTAGGGACCACCAAACCAGAGATGGAGATTTATTGGAATGTGGAATGTCTGAAAAAAGAAGGTTTTTGAGGACCTCCTTGAGGAAGGCAGAAGTTTTCTTCCAAAATTGCAAAAATGACTCCAGATAGTCTCCTTGTAGCCTCATCCTTTGCTATGTGACTTTACAGCTCTCCCCACCCTTGAATCTGGTTCACTTTGTGACTTGCCTTGGCCAATAGACTGTAGCAGAAACCATGGTGTGTCAGTTCAGAGCTAGGCCTCAAGCTGCCATCACCATGGGTATCTGTGGCCCAGTCAGCCCCCCCGCCCAGGCCCTAGCTGACCCCACAGCTATAGGAGCAATTCCATCCATGATAAGGTGGGTTTTCAGGAAGAATTAAAAGCATATGCGTATGCTGTATAAACTGCTCTGCAAATGTTAAGATACTATTTTTCAAAAGCATGTTTGTTATTGTGAATCCCTGTGTGAACATACTGAAACTAGCACTCCAATGATTATTGGAGAGCAAAGGATACAAACTGAAATTGAGAGTAAAACATATCCAAATTTACATATTTTTATAAATTGGTAGACAATCATCTGAACAAAAACAGACATGGATGAAAAAACAGCCCAAAGAATAAGAAGAGTCAAGAAACATGTCAATTTAACACCAGCTAGTGCCTTAAGGACACAATGGAAAGTATATGTTTGGTTCATTGTATAATTTTGACCACAAAAACATTATTTTATTTGTATATACTTAGAAGAAAACAAAGCATTAAGATTATCCATTGGTTCACAAACTGGCCCCCCGTACACTGGGGTGCAAAGAGGAGGCAGGCCACTCCATATTGGTAGGTGGCAGTTTTAACAAGCAAAGGAACTTACTTACCAGGCTTGTCTTGGGCTGCAGGATGAGTAGGTCTCCGCACTGCCTGCCAGAATCTTAAGAGTTTATATAGAGGCGTTAACGGGGTTCCGTCACGTACACTGTCCAGATGGTCTCAGCAACGCATGGCTCTCTCAAGGCTGCGTCCATGAAAGCAGCACCCACTGTGGGAAAGGTGAGCAGAGTGTACCTTCTGAAGACAGAGAGGGGCTGAGGAGTCTGGGATTGCCCAGATCCAGCTCCTGGGTCAACCAGCAGTCATGTCCTCTAGATGACTTCTCCCAACATAATCAACAAGGAAAAAGTCAGAGAAGATAGCCTGGGGCAGGAAAACACTCCCTATGCTATAATGAATGTCACAGGGCGACCCAAGCAGGAAACATTAGAGCTTGAAAGTAAGAAACATTTTGGGACCACTCCTGAACTGGTACTGACCTCCAGGAATGGACAAAGAGAGCACCTAGGTGAAGTCAAAAGAGAAAAAAAGAAAGGCAAGGCTGGGTGTGTAGCAATATATAGACCCAAATATATATGAGCACGTGTGTGTCAGAACTCCTGGAGCACAGCAGACCTGCTGTGTCTCCCATTCTCCTGGGCTCCCATCAGTATAAATACCTCAGGGTCATTTCCTCCTATCCACACAGTTGACAGTTAATTACTCAAAGTGAACCAACTTCCCTGGCCCTAAAAGCTACTTGGAGAGGAGTGAGACTACCGAGGGTGGGGGAGACAGCAAGTTGTCAACCACGACCAGATGAGGAGGAAGAAACACTCCATGGTTAGACTGATGATGTGGAGTTCAATTTTCAAGAGCTTAAGGGAGCAGATGTAGATAAAGGAAAAGAGAAGGGGGATCATGACAATACAGTCAAGCCCCATCATAATGGATATTTAATTTATATATTTCATATGAATTCCATTTAATCTACTCTGAATAAAAAAGAGAAAAAAATTATTTAAACCACATCAGTGATTTTACCTACCATCCCTCTCGAGGAGCTCATAGCCCAGAGTCAGAGGGGGATGGGAGGTCTCTCAGGAAGGCTCAGGCTTGAAGGCCTCTCCCAGCCAAAGTAGCTCGCCTTTTACATTTTCCAAGCAATATTATTCCTAAGCACAAGTTGACTCCTTCAACAGGCTCAACAGAACACCAATCTCTCCCAATGCTAGAAGAAAAATGGGCTACTTTGGCTTTTTAAGAAATAATGTATA